AATTCTGGGAGTTGAAGTCCACTCATTTTAAAGTGGCCAAGTTTGGACAACACTGCCCTAACAGTAACCTGGTAACCCCAACTGTGCCTGCACTAGCCTCGCATTAGCTGAATGTTGGTTCACATTAAAGGTGACCTGGTACGCAAATATTGCATTATTCAAACTCGTATTAACTATGACCAAGCTGTACGTTGAACTACAACTCCTGTTCTCCTCCAGCTGGTAGATGGAAAGCTGGTACAGAACAGCTACAGGGAGCCTCATTTCCAAACTCTCTTTCTCTCTGGGTGGGAAACCCAAAGTTTCCACCCACAGAAAGAGTGCACCTGATGCTTCTCTGCATGATCTCCCTACCTGCACTCAATAGACAATTCTGGGACACTGCTGCATCAGAGGGACCCAAACACTCTCAACACAGAAACAGGGCATGAATGTCCACCTGCCTGACTTTCTGCATGCTCTACTGCAGCTACCTTCCTTTCAACCAGCTGCTGTTGCTCCTGATCTCTCCTGAGATGCACACGAGGGCTCTCTCCAGGACTGAGTGATAATGCATCTTGGAGTCAGCAGAAAGCCCCCAGCATGGAACTGGTTGTCCCTGTTGCTCTGGCAGCATCTTTTTTCCATCCTGTCCCCACCGCTCCCGCCTCTGCACTCTCTATTCCTAGTCACTGCTGGTCCCTGACTTTCCTCCAGGGCTAGGTGACAAAGAGTAAGAGATTTTATTTGCCTTGAGGCTAATGGTGGCAGAATAAGGTGTGGGCGGGGGAGAATACTATTTGAATCCTGGAACAGCTAAAGATAACAAGCCAGGCTTAATCGTGAGCTGGGGACAAAATGACAGTGACCTCATGGGGACAGGGCAGAAAAAAGACGCTGCGCTGTGATCCTTGTAGAGGCATAGCCACATAACAGCAGGACCTGTTTTGCGAAGAGGTTCGCCTACGTATCTTATCTGGGTCTAGCTCCTTCCTTTCCTCCCTTTAAAGAAAAATATTTTAAAAAGCACGAAATGCACAAATAAAATAAATACAGCTAGTCCCCAGTTTAAGAACAAGTTCTGTTCCCAAGGTCTGTCTTTAAATCGAATTTATATGTAAGCCGGAACAGTATTATTGTATAATACTGAATATTGTATAAGTAGTATTGTGTAATGAACTCGAATCATTGTGTATTTAACTCGAATTTTGCTACAATAGGCTCCGTTCTTAACTATGGGTTGTCCTTAAACCAGGCATTCTTAACCCGGGGACTCCCTGTACATACATTTAGTGACAGAGTTCTTTTCCATTTTTAATTTGCAGGATGAAATGGGGAATGGGCCTCAATACTTAAAAGGTGGGGCAGCCATTTGTCTGGGATGGTCTGGAGAGGGGGTTAGACTAGAACAGTGTTTCTTAACCTTGGAACTCTAAGATGTGTGGACTTCAACTCCCAGAATTGAAGGCTGGCTGGAGAATTCTGGGAGTTGGTCCACACATCTTAGAGCTGCCAAGGTTGAGAAACACTGGACTAGAAGATCGCCAGGGTCTCGCCTAAAAGTCTACAATTCTAAGTCAGGTCTAGTGAAAGATATGGGAACACTGAAGGGGTCTACCTAATGCAACCTCTGATGCTTAGGAGCAACCTTACTCAATACTTCCCCAAACGCTCACAAGCAGGGGTGTGTACTGGCCCTGCACTTCCTCCTAGTATCTCTTCCTTCAAACACTTTTTAAAAAGCTATCTGAGACATTTGTCTTTTGCAAGCCTTTGCTCCCAGTGAATTGTCAACCCCCAGAATTGGTTAGAATCAAGAGAAAGAAAGAAAGAAAGAAAGAAAGAAAGAAAGAAAGAAAGAAAGAAAGAAAGAAAGAAAGAAAGA